TCTTTATATTCCTAAAAGAGACCTTATACACCTCCCAAATGTGTTTATCAGATGATAAAAGTTACAAAAACACTATTACTACAATATTAAGGGCTTCTGAATAATGATATATAAAGATTTATTTACAATGAACTTGTGATTATCTGCTTCTTCTCTCTAGGCAACAAAATTCCACAAAATATTTGCAATTGTATCATCCCTCTGTTTTTCTGCGTATGTCTCGATTGGCTTTGAATACTGATCAAGTCACTTTCATTTTGTTTATAAAAAACAAAGTAAACAAAAAACCCTCTTGGTTTCGCTATCATATTCTTAGGGTTTCCCAGTTTGGAACATCACCACCTTTCAGGCCATTTATGGATTCATTTTTGCTGGGTTTAGATCACATGAAAAAATGTTTTACAAAATTATAACCATCACTAATTTCATGTTTGTCCTTAACAAAAATCAGGATTTTTTTCTGAGCACATGATAAATATTTGTGAATACTATGGCTTTTTTCCATTTAGATATTTTCTCAGTACCACATCTACTCCATCAAATGCCAACTGCAGGCTTAAAGAGAGAAGCAGATAAATTTTGTACCACGTCTCTAGCAGTAGTATTGCAGTTTCTAATTCCTGCAGCACTGTGTTGTCAGTCCAGGAACTAATGGAATCGCATAGTGGAGAATGTTTGCAGTATCACCAATCTCTGCTAGTCAAGTAGTATGCTGTTAGGCTGAAAATAAAAAGCCTCCTAAAAATCTAACAAATGTGAACTTTTTCTTCATCCCTTTGGTATAAGATTCTTTGGAGGTTAAGATTTTATAGGCCTTTCCTTGAAACTATACCAGGGTTAACATTTACTCTAAAAATAAACATTTGCCAAGATTCTCGGCTAATGAGACTGAGGGCTGAGGCTTTAAGAAAACACTGAATATCATGAGATGCATGACAAAGTAAGAAGAGCCGGTGACACTCAGTTTTGTCCCATCGGAAATAACGGTACTGATTTTTTTAAACTCCAAATGCTAAAGTTTTCTAAAACAGACTTCCTGTCCTTTCCCTGGGTCCGCTGAACCCCATTCAGTCAGGGCACAGATAACATCTTTGGATAAAATATTTGAAATGTATGGAAAAAAAGTTTCTCCCATATAGAGGCCAAGCTTTACAGAGGAAAAGCTTTTCTTCCACGGAACTACAAACTTCACAGAAGAAAGTATTTCCTCTGTTCTGTTCCCTTAGGAGGTGTTATATTCTATAACCTGTCAGACTTATACAGTCATATATGTTTGTAATTTATATTTAGCATAAGGTCATTTGCAGTTGTCTGCAAGATATGTCCTATAAATTACAAAATGGAGAACTATTTAGAATCACAGAAGTAAAGCAAAAAAAGGAAGGAAAACAAGGAGACTTAAATGTCCAACTCAAAGATGGAGGAAATTTTAAAGCATTTAAAGCACTTTTTAAAATGAGTAAAATAATTTCCAAACTATACATGTATAACAAAATATGTTTATGAATATAGGCCCTGCCCCCTGCTCCCCCCCACACACACATCCACAGAAAGAAAATGAAATAACCTTAACTCAGACAGCTGCACGAGTAAATTACAGCATGATGTCTCCTAAGAATCCACACATCTAAGATTGAAATTTCAAGCAGTAGAACTGGACGTTATAAAAGCCTCCTATACTTCTGGCTGGAACAGTCAAACTCTGTTTTAGTAATTCTAAAAATTCAGTTCATTTTCAATCTTTCACACATGAATCACAACAGACTGCTATGCTGGTGGTTAAGAGGGTAAAAATAAAGAAGTCATTTTTGTATTTGCCCACCCAGAGAAAAGGTTATAACAGACTCTTACAGAATGTCATCAGAATTAGTTTGCTAACAAACTTCTGTCCTAAACTGCATGACCAAGGGCTCTTACTTTACAGAGCTTTTTGACTTACAGACAAGAGTACATACAACGAGGCCAGCACAACACAGAACTGAGCTAATGAGTCCGTCCACCCATAGGGAGCTTTGGCACAAGTGTCCATCTTGTAGCTGTCCCTAAGCTCCAAATCACACACGCTTCCAGAAAGTGAACAGCATTTCCACATACAAGACACAAGATTAACATCCAAAAGTTCCATTCTGTTTCCAATCCTGCCACACATTTCCGGCTTAATTTTTTGAAGCTATTTAACTCAATATGCTTATTATCTAGTCCATACAGCATGAAACGCTACTGCTGCAAGAACATTTGTAAAAGCTTCAAATATTATGGAGTCTCCATGCTCTTATATGGTAACAATAAACTTCCAGGCAAGGCAAAATAAAAGTTCCTAAGCTTTAGTCTCGTATTTCCTGTCTGGCTAAACCCTGATTTCTTTTCACATCTCTGAGTACTCCTATGACAGACAGTGAATTCTGATTACTCAGTTTTCTCCTACAGATTTGACACTTTTCCCAGTGTTTCTCTGCACTGGAAGTCTATATGAAACAACTCTCTGAATACCCCCCAAAAAACAAAGCCAAAGACAAAAAACACAGATATCACAGGATTTTGCTGTGCCTTGAAATACAACGGCAAAACAGTGAGAATGAAATTTTTCTTGCACTTAAAATAGCATGTTTGTTTAGAATTAGGTGAAATACATATACATGCACAGACTCTTTCTGCTCCGAGACAGGGAAACTCAGGCTTTTATACTAAGCCTGATAGTCAAGAAGGCTATGGAGAGAAGATGCGCAAGTTGGATTCTGTCACTTCAGAGTAAGTTAAACTCACTTACAACATCCTGCCCAGAAAAATGGTCAGAATAGTCCTCATTTTCAAAAGGCAGAAGATGCCAAAGGGGCATCTCTGCAATGGTATGCTACTGAAGAAAGAGAACGGACAACTTCAAGGACAGATTTGGAGACCGTACAGAAATTTGGACAGTTGGCAGGGATCTTAGTAGGCTTCAGACAACAGTCAAACTAGAAGAATCATAGCTGAAGGAATTCAAACTCCATTTATGTCCCTAAAATAATCCAGTCCTTTCCTGCACATACCTATTAGAAGTGAGTCATTCCTTACCAATACATAGACCATAGCCATTAGGAGCCAGAATTTACAGTGAGAAGCAGAGTAAAAGCTTTATCAGCTATACTGCATCTATCAGAGGTCCACGCAGCTCAATAATCCCTCTTTAATGGGGATCAGTTGAAGTTTAAAGGGCAAATATACAAGAGGTTTTTCCCAGCCTCCGAGTATTTGTGGCTGAAGGGCTGATATCATTTTGTTTAATATCCCCTGCTAGATTTTTCTTCCATGAATTTATGTAATTGCTTTAGGAATTAATAACATTCTGTGGACATAAATTCCATAGGACATTAGTGTTTAAAAAACAAAAAAAAAAAAAAAGTACCTCCCTTTCTGTGTTGTGAACCTGTGCCTCCTGATAATATCACTGGATGATCCTTGTTTTTGAATTACAGGAGGGAATGAATAATCATTCTCTATTCACCTGCTCCACAAACAGAATGATTTCACAAAACTCCATCCTGTCCTATCTACCCTCAGGCTGAATTTTCACCTGTTCAGAAATTCTCGTGAGGGAACTATTCTTTACCCATGTCATCCTTGTTACCCCTCTCGCCATGTTTTCTAGTTGTACTACATTTTGGGGGCAGGATGAGAGCAAGACAACAAGAGCAGTATCACATACACCAGGAAGTTACTATTCCTTATTTACTTTTATCTTTTGCTCACTATTATCATTCCAAGATGCCTGCAAACATCAACACATAATTACATAATATTTTGACATTTTTCTTTGCAGCTATAAGGAAAAAGAAATACTAAAAATAGAGCTCTAGACTCTGCTTGAGCCCAACTCGAGCCAGCCTCTGAGTAGATAGACAGGCCTTCTCAACATTCTTCTTAGCATCCTAGTTACACAACATTATTTGTATAGGCAGATCAACCTTGCAAAACTTCCAGCTGTTTATAACTCTGCTATATTTTTCCAGACTGGGTATCTGCTGCGGGTTTAATGTGTTTGGAAAGTTTTAGGGAACAAAAATCAGCCAATTCAGATAATGAAGTTAAGGAAAAGTATGTGTTGTTTAGCTCTTTTGAAAAGCTCCAATGCCTTCATAAGCTACAGCAGAGATTTTAAATTGGCAGTAAACTGCCGGCCTATCAGGGACATCTTTTGCCAGTCCTAGGAAAATATTACCAAATTTGGCCAAGTTGTAACTCTTTACTGAGTATACATCAACTGAGTTTTCTAAAGATTTTTTAAGAGTTTGACAGCTAAATCAACCAAAGGCCAGATCAGTATGCACCATCTCCTCCCAGCACCTCTGTTAACCAGACTGCATTTTCACGATTGTCTCTGAGAATTAAGCTTTGTCCTACATCTGCTGGAACCAAACTGGACTTTTCCTGTGATTGAAGCTGCCAGAGGTTGCTACAGCATCAGACAAGAATTGGAAGTGGTTCAGCTGTTTCTACATATTAATTGATACCTACGTATTACTGTCCATCCGGTATTACGCATACTGGCATGGAAGCTCCGTGGAGGAAAAGGAAGAGGGAAACAATGGCTGAAATGCAGAAGTGACAAAAGAGAGCAGGGAAGTAGCTGAGACTAGAACAAGGAGCTTGATAAAGATATGCTAAGACTGAAAACATGGTAGGTATCAGATCAAGGTGGAGAGAGAGGAATGGAAAGGATGAGCTCACAAAAGACTAATTGGAGATTGGGACAAAGAGCTGGAGGAAATGACAGATTTAGAGAAAGACATGGAAACTTAGAAAAGGATAACAGAGTGGAAAGACAAGTGGCACAGAGACAGACCTGGAAGAGAACAGGGACAGAAGGGACAAGGAGTATGTGAACTCCCTCCAGAGCCCACATCAGATCTCATTATCCCCGACTCACAACGTTCTTCTCTCAGCAAATATCACTAAAACTCACTGACAAAGAGAGTGTGCCTCATCCCCCTCTAGTGCTCATCAACTTTCAAAATACTCACATTTTTCAAAGAAGAGATAGTCGCACATTGAAATAATCTGCAAACACTATTAAGAAAGGTGCCATGAGTCTTCTCTGCTTCAAGCACTTGCTCTTCTAGGGAGGAAACATGGCGTGCAACCATTTTTACAAATGCCTATGGAGAGAGGGAAAAGCATCTAATGAACATCATTAGCATCTGCACTAAGTTTCAACACTACCCTAGTTACAGATGAGAAGTCAAAGAAAAGCCTTTGGTAAGATTTCAGAATACCCTATTACTAATTTGAATATCCAAAGGGCATATATTCAGAAGTAGACTACAGATATTTCCAGCCATTAGAAGAAAAATGACGTAAGGCTAATTTTCCTCCTTTTCTAAAGGCATGGTTTGACTCCCTCCTAAGCACACAGAGTAAGCAAGCACTTACAGTGTCTAAAAGTCTGGCAACGTTTCAAGACTGAAGTGAAGAGATCCTCAGAATCTCCAGGGCACAGCTACTACTAGTGGTAAAGACAAAGTGGCTGAAGAAGTAAGAGGGAGGAGAAAGCAGCGGAAAAGATAATGGTACATGATTTTGACTAAAAAAAGGTTGGAAATTATTGACCTAAAACATACATGTGACGTGTTCAGTTTCATTAGAAATGTGAGCCATAAGGTAAAGCCATTTAGAAAGTATACAGTACTTCTTTGCTCAAATACAGAATGATTTGTGAAGAGGTTCAATGTCCTATATTAACGATTAAGCTTCGCTCTTTTTTTTTTTCGTGAGAAGCTGAGCACTGCCCATTTTATTGATGAGGACAGTGAGGCAGAACAGGTAAATTAATTGCCCAAAATATATCAGCGGCTGCATCAAAATTAAAACCCAGTAGATCTTCTTCCTATTTAACCATTACACAACAGTGCTCCCCCCCCTTCTACTCTTGAGAGTTCAAGTCAATTTCTTCCCTGAAAACCCCCATGGATAAGCTTTAAATTTAAAAGTTGTAATTAAAGCATTAACTACTGCTCAAATTGCTAATAATCTTGTGCTTTCAGATTATTGCCATTACAGTGGGTAACGTTAGGGACAAAACTAACTTCTAATCAATTCAAGGCATTAGCCTCCTCTGAAAAGGCAAGAAAGCATCTCAATAAAACGTTGCTGTACTTTTAAATGCAACCTAGTGAGCCTAGTGCAGAGACTGGTGTTTTCTTCGCATTCCAAATCACTGGGTCCCTACGGCTGTATCAAGAGAATGAGGTGAGAGGGCAGGAAGGGTTCAAATGATAACAGAAACTTTATTTTCTCATAATGAAGACTTTTTTTTTTTTTTTTGCACAGACAAGGAATAATCTCATTGAAGTCAATGAGTCTCAAAATTTAGCATATGTGCTTACATACTCAGAGTTAAGTACCTTGAAGTGCTTTCCTCAAAAAGGTCTATTTTAGTGTGAATAGAAGTCCTGTCAAATGGTACATCCCCACGTTAATCAACAGAACAATACCAGCTGTGTGTTCAAAGGTGTTTCTGCTCATTTCAGTAAAGACTTGCTCTTTTGTTACTTTTTACTTTTTAAAAATATCCTCTGGTTAGCCTGGCTGAGCTAGCACACAGGAGGTGAAAGAGATGGATTCTACTCCCAGCTTCTGTATCATCAGTAAATTTGTAAATTATACAGTTACTTCACGATAGTCACTCAGAACACAATCTTAGCTGTTGACGATAGCACACAGTCAGAAAGAGCACAGCTTCAAATGACAAATGTGAGATATCTTTAGACTGTTTTATATTTACTCTGCGAAATCAAATAAAATCAGGGAACAACAGATTTCAGCTCCTGTAAAGTTACTGTCCACATGGAGAGGACTGGCATCAAAATCACTTCTCAGTTTTGAAAAGAATGTTCTCAAGGGTAGCTGAAGAACAACACATGGCAGTCAATTAATAAAGCAAAAACCAAGAAAATTTTTAGCGTATAATATCAATGGCAATTTTAAAATTCTTTCAAATTAAATGCTGAAGAAGCAACAGTTAAATATTAAGCATCAGTTGAAAAGAATTCTCTAATTATTAGCCAAAAAAAGTAAGGAGCTCTATTGCTTACCCATACTTTTGGCACAAGTAATTGCTGAGAGTTTGAAGTTTATTTTTCTGTTCAAAGACAAAAATAACCCCCCCCCAAAACCCGAGAAAAACGGAATTTTCAAAAATGCCTGGAGGAGTAAGATACTTCTAGAAACAGCTGGCTTGGCACCTGATTTAATTAGACGTTTTTCACAAGCCCAGGTTAAGTCCACGCTTAAGTATGTCCCTGATTGTCAAGTATGCTGAGAATCTAATAACTATTTTTTACACTAGGGTACTCAGTTATGAAAATTAGATAGGTTTCAGATCTGCAGGTTAGCCGTTAACTTCCACTTTTGGCCTAAAACGCCTTGCCTCAGCTTCCTAACTGAAGCTTCCTCCTGGTGCTGTACCTGGCCATAAAACATGAAGTAGTTAGATAAACCTGTTATCAAGTGCAAGCGTAAAAATTCAAGCTATAAAAAGTGAATTGCATTTAAAGAAAACTTAAGAGAGCTCAGTCAATTGCCCTGTCCTTCCCAGCGTAATAAACCTCACCCAGAGGATACTACTTTGTACAGGAGCAGAGCTTGAAGCTTGAGAACTCCCTATCCAGAATTAATGCCACAAACAGTTAGCTTCTTTCACTTCTGAGTCAGTTAAAAGTGATTTAGAGCATTACACGATTTATCCTGTCATGTTTTAATTATAGTCTTTCCAGAGGCAAACTTGCCCTCAGTTGACATGAATTTTAATATACTGCTTACTAAATATGGTGAGGGCATCATCTTAGTGAGTCATATTGGCTTTCCTCATTCAGGATACAGTAAACACCAAAACAAATGCCGAAGAAAAGTGCCGTTCAGAGATTTCTCCGCTACTATGTTAAGACTGTTATCACTAACTTGAAATGGATATGTCCTACACTATATGCAAGACTTGAATTTTTAAGCTTATCAATGGTTTTACAAATATTTCTTCAAGTCACAAAACATATTAACATTATTAACATTATTACTAACATCAAAAACACTAGGAAGGCTTTCAATCTAGCACTAGGAATTGTAGAATCCACAGCAATAAATTATTCAATAAAATTCCAAAACCATAAGCAGTTACATGTACTAAACCATGGGTAAACATTACATTGATTTAAAAACAAACATAAAATCTAAGACAAGAGAGAGCTGTAAACATCTGAGTATTCTACACAAATACCTAGACAGTTAAGCTGTAATAAACATAAAAAGAAGAATGTACATCTTGTAACATAATTAACAAACCTCTAATTTATCAACTTTGGCATAGATGTGGTTCATTTCCATCACCTTGTCTTTAACTAGCGGAATGGTCTCGTCGAGGATCTGGGATGTATCATTTCTAATCTGCATGAAAAAAAAAAAAAGCATCTCACACAAAGATGAATCTTGATGATAAATGCTTCCCAATTTCTTTTACATGAACATTTCAAAGCACTTGTATTGAAAAAAAGATATCACAGAGGCCCTTCTAGAAGTATGCTATAAGGTAGAGACTGGGAAATGAACTTTCTCAACTAATCCACGAGACAACAAAACAACCAATAGTACGTGGCAGGACTCCCACATCAAAATTGCAACCAGCCCCCTCCCTCTTCTTTCCAAATTTAACCAGTGCACTTCAGTCATTTCCATACTACTGCTCCCAGGAGATTCCCACCTTCTGTAATAAAGTACTGTATACACAATGGACTTTAAAAAAAAAAAAAAAAAAGCCTCTATTCCAACCTCCATGCTTTGATTGATTTTATTGGAGAACAGCTGATTGATACTTCTGATAATCAGTTTTGGAAAAGGATCTGAATTAGCCTATGGCAAATACTCCTACTTCAGGGGTGGCAGGAACATCACTTACCTATGAAGAGCTTCTAAAAGATTGTCTACACCTTTGCAATGCAGACTGGCACTAACACAGAAAAAAAAAAAAAACCAGCTGTCCTGGAATAGATCTTTCAGTACATCACTTTAAGTATCTTGCCTTCAGCAGGGGCTCAGGACTAGAGTTCTCGAGCAAGAATCTTCACCCAAAGTTACACCATAAGCACTTAGAGAAAGTCTCTCCCTAGTCCCTGTTAGTTTCCACAATAATAAGCGCCTTACAACAGGAAAGATTATATTTGTTACAACAGGGAAGATTATATTTGTTTTTGATATCCATGTGAGAGTCTGAACCTTATCTGAAATCCAGCTAAGCGTTCTGTCAGCAAGAGTTACCCCGTTTCCTATATGAACTACAAGCGTTTAGTTAGACATCCGTAAGATATACTTCCAATTACCAGACTACAGATAATGGAAGACACAAATAAATGATGGATAAGACAAGCTGGGAAACAGTCTTCCGCTCCTGGCTCAAGGCAGAGGTTTCACAACAGTTTACACCAAATCTCAGTCACTGCTCCTGCCGTCCTGCTCCTCACCCCTCTGTCTCTGGCTGTTTGCTCCTCCTCTACGCCTTGTGTTGGCTGGTGCCCATCAGATTTTGAAGAGAGGCAGTTCAGGTAGATGAATAGATAGAAGATGATTCCCTTTGTCTTGCTAGGTTAGCTTTCTGTTGATTAAATTTCCTGACCCAGTTGAGCATAGGATCAGTCAAATGACAGGGCTACACAAAGAAAAGGGGAACCTAGAGGAAGAGGAGCAGGACCACAGAGGGCTGTGCCAACCTAGACAGGCTTAAGCAGCTGTGGAAGCATACCATAAGCTACAACATACAAAAGCTCCTAGTCAGCACACAGCCAGCTCCCCACTGTCCATGGTGGCGGTGTGGGTAGAACAGATCTGGACAAAGGCAACAAACACAGGAACAGTACCAAATAGATACAGATTAGGCGATGAATAATATGCTGCATGCATACTTCAAAACATTTGCAAATGATCTCTGATAGAGAACAGCAGCCACTTTAGCAGCAATGGGAAGAGCAGTGCCAGGAGTAAGCAGCACATGTTCTGCATCCTATGCACTGCTGAACAGTTCTGTAGACAGGGGTGCTTGCACGAAGGTAATCAAGAGACAGCTGCATTTTATCAAGTATTTTCACATCCTTCTTACTTTACTTTGGCTATTAAAAGAAAAACACACACTTGCACTACTATTCTGATTAAGATGGCAGCTCAGCAGTCTTGGCTTCAGCAAAGCCATCAGCAACACAATGTTGGCTAAACAAGAACAGAAAAATGTGGTCAATGAAGAACAAAAACCCATAAAGGCAGTGGTACAGGACTAAACGTACTATCTTCAAACAAACACCATGCATTAACATGCACTAACACAGGTTCTGGCTTGAAAAAAATTTGAGAGCCCTTTCAAAAAGGAAATGGCAGCTAAGAACCTGTAATTAGCATTGCTCTGCTTCTGTCATCATCTTCCCTCCCAAACTATTAACACTGGAAACAGCAGCAAAACAGAAGCAGTAAAGAAATCAAAGGAGGAAAGGAATACAAGAAACAATCACCCATAAAACTGCTGAGAATCTGCTTCAAAACAAAGCAGCAGAGCTCTGCAAAACAGGATTCACAAATCAACTTCAAGGAGGCTTAAATTAAGTTCAGAGGGAGAGTGTCTCATAAGAGAGAGAATGTGGCAGTTCTATCAAAAGAAGCCAGTTCACTTCAGGCTTTGGTTTCAAGATGAAAACAAAATTAAGAAAGTATCCGGTAAGATACTCGAATAGGCACTCTAAGTAGTCAAACAGCTGAGCAGCAACCCATTGACAAGAGAAACAAGAGGCAGCTGAGCCCATTTCAATACAATAAGGTTTTTTTCCTCAATTAGAATGGAGTATAGGAGGACTTGGTTTGCTTCTGGACTACACCTGCTCTGCTCAAAATTTTAATATACTTAAAGAACAGAGGAACCGTTATCCCTTTAATGCCCTCTCTAAAACAGGTTTTTGTCCCAAGGACTGAGCTACAAGATATTCTTCTCTCAGGTTCACGGGGAAGAGCAAGGATCTTGTAGCTAGAATAATGTGAACCTGGAGTTGGACTAATACTGCAGAGAGTCTTCTGGGCATTTTGAGATTTAATTCAGAATCTGAAATCAAGCATAAGTGCCTGCTATAAAGCAATTTAATCCATGGACCATGTTTTACAAGGTCTAACACATACTTAGAAGTTTACTGACAGATATTACGACTTGCTTGTTGCGGGTTTTTTGGTTACTCTTTTCTTGTTTGTTTGTTTAAAGAAGTTGTGTTTTTAAAAGCCCACTATGAATAAAGCTTCATATACATAAAATGATGCACAGTAAGAGACTGTATGACATTTTCATTACCAGAATGAGTACATTTGGGTCAAGTGCTTTTACACTGCTATAACTGTTCCTTAATAGAAGATCACACATATCTATCAAAATAGCAGTAACTTTCTACTGTCCACAAGCCAATAGTTTCTCCTTCTGTATTACTGGTCTCAGCACTAGATCCACAGACATCTCCCGCAGCAGCTGACACAACTGTATATACAGACACACATTGTTGTCTTCACAGTATGCACTTTCATATCAAACGGAAAATGAGCACAGACCGTTGGGCAAGATCCCCGCAAATGGAGTCAGATTACATTTCCTAATGTTAAATAAAAATCTAAAGTGAATATAGAATAAAAGATTCAAAGCAGATGAATTCCAGGGTTGTTCTGTTGAATTCTTTTGGCTCAGTGGTAGCCAAAAAAACGCCTGTCGTGAAAGATACATGAAAAATTGACTGGTGATCTGTCTGAGGAGAGGTTCATACTCTGATCAACAACGTCAGATTAAAATTCAAGCCTGAAACTTCCAAAGGTAACAAACTAACATTGTCTAATATTGGTCTCCGAAAGGACTAGGGAAAAGCCACTCTTACAGCTAAATGCTAGACAGCTACTGTAAATATAAACACAGTTTGGGACATAGCCAGAACAAGGGAGATGTTGTACAGACCTAGTATAAAAAACTATGAACACAACAAGGTCAAAGCAGACATGGAACAAATCCGAACCATCTTTCTTTAATGGTAAAAACAAATAACCAACACAAGACACAGGAGAGCAGATTTTCCAGCAAGCAGTTTGTGATGAAAGGAAATGATATGCAAATATGATTCAAGAAGAGTCATTCTGCAGCAGTCTGCAGAACCACAGCGACAGAGGAGTTCAAGAGGAGTCAGCACGTGACAAAGGGAAACGATTCTCTTGGTATAGCAACCTCTCACGAGCCACAGAAAGCAGGACTGCTCTGAAACTCCGCATTATAAAACTAGATTTATTTCCCTTTGTACAATTCAGTTTACTTTATCTTGCTGCAGATTTAGCTGAGCGCTCAAGCACAAGCACCAGAGCACAGCAGTCCACGGAAAAAGCTTGTATTCCACTCAGTGCGGTTTTGCTATGCTAACTGGAGGAGGGGTTGAGGAGGGAAGGTTTGAGCTTTGTCTTCTAACAATTCAAGACAGTAAGACTAAGCACAAGGAGGAAGCAAACCAACAGCAGGAAAGTCGGTTAGAAGAGAGCACAACTAGAGTACAAATGATGAATTAAAACACAAAACAGGAATGGCATGTTGCGCGTACGGCAGTGACACCTGATCCTTGCATACACCACAGCTGAAGCTGTATCAGTTGAAATAAGCACAGATTCTATTACCTTGTATTTTATAAAAACTATTATTTTGTCAGGAAAAAAAAAAAAAAGAATCGTAGCTGGAGCCACAAGTCAAAGACACTATGCAAAATCTAGCTGTTGCAAGGACTTGTTTGAAAGGATCTCGCTATACTCTTTTTTTGTCACTGATCCCATATGTTAACACAAAGTAATACTAAAGAATCACTGGTGAAACTAACCACTCGAAACTGAACAGCTCAGTGGTGAGAAAAGGGAAAACTGAGGTTGGTGTGTTCCTGGAGAGTTAGCAAACCCTAGCCACAGGAAACCAAACAAAACAACCTCTTCCTCTTCCTTTTTCTTCCTCAGTGATGAAACCAGGTTTCACACCTAGGGCGTCATGGAGGACGTTCCCAACCTGTAAGTCCATGAGATAAAGACAAACAGCAGCTGTTCCGTCGAACTGTGTTAAAGCAAAATTTAGAAACACATCATTTCCCTGGGACTAGTTCCGTGTGAACTAGTACCACCAACCTGCGGTCTTATAAACTGGTGGGTATGCTGAACATACATATTTAATAGAAAGAAAAGTATCACACATACAGATTTCTACACACCCACACATCCTCTTCAAGGATTAGAAGCCAAAGAAACTGGAGTAGTGAATTTCCACATGCAACTAAACCAGGTGTGCCTCTCTAAAGAGCTATCATTTTCAATCACACTTTCAGATGTACAAGACACACAAAGGTGAACCTACCAAGGTACCCAACTATGACAATAAAAATCATACAAGAACAACATGAACAAGAGTCTGGTTATAATAGTGAAACTCTTTGCCTTTGTGTCACTGGTTCAAATCATAGCTCAGTTAAGATCATAATTTGATAATTACACTTGAGCGGCTGTGAAGCCACTCGAAAGATGTCAATTCACTATGTTGAAGTCAGCACCCTAAGGAAGACATCCCAAGAAGTTAACAGACACTGTCATTCTCCTTGCACAATTTGTTCTTTGTAAGTGCTCCTTCCATGGCAAACATGAGGCACACCGATGCATATTTACATGATCGCACATTACATTATCTTACCCGCTATACAAGTAAGTGTCCATGTTAAGTGTTGTGCCTAGGCAGGTACAACTCATATAATCTGACCCTGGAACTAGTGGTTTTTCTTCCTAGCACTGCAGATCCAGGTTTATCACTGCAATATCCAAATCTATGCATTAAGAGTACCTACAAGTGAAAAGCAGTAGCACATTCAAAGGAGAAAAGCCAAATCCCTTTATGTGACTACCCTACTAAATATTCGATTGAAATAAGCAAGATTCCCCTTGCCTCTTGTTGGCATAGACAAAAGACCAAATCATTGCTATGCACAGAAACTGGAATCAACTCAAACACTACATTATCTTTATCAGATTCCCAGATACTACTTGATGTGCTGCTGAAAGGAACCTCACAGCGTAGGTATTGCATAGAAAGGCAAAGAATCAACATACTGACTGTAGCTCTTTGATATTCCCAGATAAGGTCAATAATCTGCATACTAGCTAATTATTCACAGCCTGCAGGTGGTGGAAAAATGTTTTCATGGGCAAAGCAAAGATAACGTATTGAAACTAGGTTAGTCTTTTTTGTAGAAAAGGTTGGCAAGAGAGGAAGGCTCACAAGAGGTTTAAAAGCTCAACGGATCCATCTGAACAAGCTAACAATGTTCCGTATGCTAGAGCCAACAATGTAAGGTGCATGCCGGACTGAGGGGCAGAAGACTACAGCACACACAAATTCTTAGCCAAAACTCCCAAACTGAGAAGAACTGAGTGAATGAACTTAATAGTAAACCAGACAGAATACAATCAGCAGAGAACAGCAACTGATTCAAACCACTTGCTTTGAGCAAGCTGATGTCATACCACTGCAGCAATCCTCATCTTGCCAGAAAGAACTGAAAAGACTTCTTGGCCCAAGAAACCAGTCTCTCGAATTCTACATATTGTACAGACTAAATGTGCCATATTAGTGAATCTAAAGCTGACAAATATAAGCCAAGATGTATTAAAGAATAGACGGTGTGCTCTGAGGTTCACATGCTCCTTTCCAGCTATTTTTGTCAAAAGCTGAATGGAAAAGAACTGCTTAAACAGCCACTAATACTGAACCATCCTTTAAAGGCAGTTTGTTTTTTTTTTTTTTGTAAGTCCCAGCAAATCATGTGCGTCTTTCACGAGCCAAGCTTTTGTTTCTTTCCATTCCCTATCACTTCTTCTGGAAGTAATGACACTTCCTTTCCATAAATAAAAAATGCCAAAAACAAATCGGAAAGCTCCAACAGAAGTCAAAAAGGATGAATAGCTTACCATACTGCTGACTGGCTTGCCTAGAACAAGGGTGGCCCCACTTCTCTTAAGCAGGGCTCACATTTAAGGTGTGAGATCTGTCCCATAACCAAACAGAAACTGTCATTAGCTAGCTGATGATATTTTACATAAACTGTGTCAAATTTATTAATGTGAGTTTTCAATAGGTTCTTGCAAACCACACGAGACTGCTTTGTGGCCAACTGTGACTTACGGCGTCTGCCCTTGTGAGTATGCACAGCATTTTTCCAAACCACGCTTGGACAAAAAGTGGAAAGATGCTTAAAAGGCAATACTGCATCTGTTCTGTGAACAGAAGACAACGTGCAGAAAGGCCAGCACACCAACACCTTTCATTTGCACTAAAGCTAGTAAAAATAAGGCAGGGAAATTGCTTTTCAGCTGCCTACATGACACTTGCTGCATAATTTTGTTATGCATCCCATTGCTTCATTTTGCTTGTCCCTCTCCACTTATCTGTGCAATTCCTAAGAATCATCCAACAAAATAGCTCTTAGGCTACAAGTCACTAAGGAGACGCTGGCTGGTCACTATTAGTACATTCAGTACTTTCGCAGTACGCCAGTGATCACTGCAGTTGCCAATGCCACGTACGTTATACAAGATGCTTCTAAAGAGGCAAGAAAAAATGTAACTGCTAACAGAAGGAGAGATGGTCTGCACATTAGGCAACAGAAGTCCCTCTAAGTAAACCTGGTCCCTGCTATCTGAACTAACACTCTATGAAATGCTCAGGAAGAGTTAAATTGTGGTACCAGTAATTTTAACGTAATTTTTACTTTTTTCTAGCTTGAGAAAGGAAAAGTTGACTGCAGGAACGTCACACATTCTTACTTTTTACACGGACACTGCAAATCACATAGCCTTCAGACAGCGTATCTTAACGCAGAAAGCTTGGGGGGTCAGCCGAACAGTAACACCTCTTGCTCTACACGGCCTACCACAAACCATTAGGCCCTCGCAGCGGCTAAGGCACACGATCAGTCACAATCTCATTACTAGCTTGCGCTCCCCACTCAGTTATTCCGTTTATATCAACTTCTCGTTTGTATTCGGGTCGCAGGCTCTGAGCACAAGTGACTAGCTTGCCGCACGCGTCCAGCGCCTCGCCCGGGAGCCCTTCGCCCGGGACCGCGAGCGCTGCCGCGACGCACGCGCTGGCCAACAAACGACATTGCGTCTGCCCGCACCGCTGCCTCGCAGCGGCCCCGCTGTCGTCGCTCCGGAGCGGTCTTCCCCTCAAGCTTCACAGCGCAGCTTGGGTGAGGCAGAGGACCGGGCCAAAGGCAGGACTGTTCTAGAACGTACCCTCCGCCTCCATCTCTGGTCTGTTACTGAGCAGCACACCAGCACACCGGGAGGGCAGAACACACCCCGCGCGGGCGAAGGAAAGGCAGGACGGAACCAGCGAGGCCCCCAGGCGTCTGCCACCTGCGCAGGCCCCGGCGGCG